CTGAAACTAAATATGAAGAGTGGTGAGGTGTGTGTATAGAGGTACTAGGGTTAAGTATTAAGTTGGATGACCTTTTTTGTTTTTTTACCCAATAATAAAACTTAAGAGATTAATGATTTAAGTATTGGGTGAACAAAAAAAAGTGTGAGGTTTAAATAGAAAAACTCTATTTATATTGACAAAAAATATAAGTACCTAAAAAATAATTTACTTGGAAAATATAGGTACCTAAAAAATAGCTTACCTACAAAGATAGGTAAAGTATTGTACATGCATGGAAAAATAATTTACCAAAAAATAAATAACATGAAAATTAATTTACCTAAAAATAAATAACTTGGAAAATATAGTACCTAAAAATAGTTTACTTAAAAAGACAGGTAAATTATAGTTTACTGAAAATGTAGGCACGTTTGTACATGCCAAATTGATACAAAATACCACCCACAGCGTATATTTAAATTGAATATGTTTTCTTCTTCTTTTTTGAGAAATAGTGAATACATTTTCTATGATGTGTACATTATTAGGTTAAAAGTTACATGGGCATGGGCTAGCAAGAACTGAAATTAGTTAGGATTTGATTTGTTAGAAACATAATCACTAAAATTGAGGATATAATTATTAAGGGCAATGATTTCCCCACTCCTATTTTATCCACTTACACTCATTTTTTAATTATAAAAAATGAGTGTAAGTGGATAAAATAGGAGAAAAAGGAGTGGAGAAATCACCACTCATTATTAAATGTTAAAGTCAAAAAAATAGCATTATCAACCAAGGTGGTTGGTGTGAGTGGTTTGGCACTCTCGTTTCTTAAGAGAATGTCAGGGGTTCGACCTCTGCTCTCGTATAGAGTCACCATTTTGGCCAACACTTCACCCCTTACGGGCCGACCCGGTGTGAGCGGGGATTAGTCTGGGTTGTGGTTAAGGCTTAAATGTGCCACCCATAGTTAGAGTCCATCCAGGACCACCTTGTGGTTCATACCAAAAAAAAATATATAGCATTATCGGATAGTAAAATGCGAGAAATTAGGAACTGTTATTATGAAAAACAAGTAACATTCGTTTACAATTGAGTTTTTGTTGGAAGGAAAAAAAATTGTTGAATTTCTATCTAGAATATATTAGTTCTATGGACCTTCCTCTTAAGAACTCATTGATCAATGATGAAAACAATGATATAAGGTAGAATTAGACGTAGATGTTTATCACTGCGGCCACCTCTTTATCCTCGTTGTCATTATCATCGATGTGGTTGTCGCTCTGCATGCACCGTTACGGCGCGGCCACCAGCACCGTCATATTTGATACATCTCACAATTAGCTGTCAATGCATATTTCAATCAACGGAAAAAATGAGTTTATAATTCAGACTTGGAGTACATAGATAGACAAATACATACATACATTGTGGATGATAATTCAAGGGAGACTATTTGGGCTACTGTCGGCGACATTGTGGATGATGTGAGAGACTTGCTCATGCGGTTTTCTTTAAAGGAAGTCCAATTTCAACATAGGAAGTGTAACAAAGTGGCTCATGCTATTGTCCGTTTTGCTTTACACGAGCAAGGTCCTTATTATTGGTTAGAAGAAGGCCTTGTGTGGCTAATGAATTGTATTCTTGATGACCTTATTGTAACCAATGCTTCTGGTTAATAAAATTTACTTATTTTCGATTTAAAAAAAAAGAGAAGATACATACATACATACACATATAAATTTTTAAGTTATGATGTACTACAATGTAGATGGTGTAGATGAAATATATAAATGCAAAGGCGGTTTCGTATGCGATATTCATGTTTAATTTTCACCAATTAATTGTCCCTATCTTAAACTTTTAATGGCGCAATTGGGGTCACCGGCAACAAGCATGCATGCTGATGCTTATCCTCAGAATGATTGGCTGCTCTCTCGTCCTCATTCAACTAAACAAATAAGTATATGCACCTAACTTCACGTCTCCTATAGATTTTTCTAAATTTTATATAAATTTTATTTTGTCAGCTTTACTTTATATGCACATTATTTCATTTCAATCATCCACGAGTTACAATCAACCAGAAAATGATTTGGGGTTCTTTTTTAAAACGCCTTCATGTCAGAATGAAAGGTGTGAGAGAGGATTACTTTTCTAAGCTTTAAGAAATGTCTCTAATAATAAAGGCCTCAATCGTGGCTTGATGGCTTTTGGTGGCATGATAGTCTTGTCAAGACAAAGTCCTTGACTCATTATTCCCTACCATCGCAAAAGAAGACAACATAAAAGCAATGTTAGTTCTAAAATTCCTTTACATTTATTATTCAAGTATAAATCAATACTTGTGATGAGCTAGCAAAGGACAATGATAGAAATAACGTATTGGGTGGGTGTCACACGAGTCAATCTGAACAAATTATCATTCAAATCCGGTTCATATGAGCTCGAAGTTTTGAATTTAGGGTTTAGAGTTCATATTTTATAGAATACAATTTTCCTTACGCACCATGTTAGAGTATGCCACACACTTTCGACTCATTAAGCTTTGGTTTTTAGTGATTCAAATTTGAAAGTAGAAATAGCTGACGCTAAAAGTTTATACAACTATTGTATTCTAATCCTTAACTTAAGGATATGATGTTCCAAATTCTCACGGATTCTGATTCCTTTTTGTTGCTTCGATTATAACATATGAGTTCTTTCATTTTCGCGTTTGAGTGTATGTGGTGAGCAAATTTTTATCTTCAATTTCAACATTTACTAATATAAATAAACAACACGCATGGTGCCAAAAAAAGAGGTGTTCATGTTGAGAATGTTTAAGATATTAAAATTGTATTAGGGTCTTAATTATGATTTTTTTTAGTATAAATGATGATCTAAATTAAAAGTAAGAGGGATTTCTCACACACACATATATATATATATATATATAACTAAGATGTCAAGGGGTTAGCACATGAGACCTCTTATCTGCAAATCAATATCTTTTTTCCAATGAACTATGCCCCGTTGACAATAATGAACGAAATATTTTTAGCCGAAAGTACAACAATATCATATTTTTGTTCATCACTGTTGACCCTATCTTGTGAACCAAATTTTAGCACGCCCAACATAAGACGTTTGACTATAATGAATTAATGCTTGAAATATTCGTTGGATATGGTCGATCAGCCTTCACTGCATTGAAAAGGCAATGCCACTGTCCTTTCACTTGGAAGCAGCCGTTAAATCTAATAAGAACCCCTTATATATTTACCTGTTGGAAGTCTAAAAGGTCGGCTAAAATACAAAGGTCAAATAAGATGTTAATTAATTAACCAATATAATAATCTGATCTGATGACGTCGCTAATTAATTAATAAGAAGGGTTATGGAAAATGAAGTCACATTTTAACCTTAATTTAGATATGGAACCTGCTGTAACGCTTTTTTCTCTCTTTCAATAGACAAACATAGTTTTTTCGAGAACTTCGGTGGTACAATAAAAGAATTTCTTAAATACTACAAAAATGATGAAGGGGACTTAACACTTGACTCCAAGTACAACCATCTCAATAAGAACGTCTTTAATCATATCAGAGGGACTTCAAACCACTCAAAAACATCTAGGCTAAACGCATTTCAACTAGACTAAACATATACACAGCACACAGTTTGATAATCTTCTCTATGGTTTTTGGCCCTAGCTTCCAACTAATCCCACTTAAATTTGTGAATATGTGACACAAAAGGGGAAAAGTTTAGGGATAAATAATTGACGTACGTACCTTTTTGGTTGATTCATTTCTGCATGCCAACAAAAAGAAAAGTTAATCCCATTCGAAATTACGTAAAGTCTATTGGTTTTTCTAAATTGGACGCATACTTTCTACAACTTTTTCTTTATCGTCACGACATTTCCTACAGAAATATAATAAGAAAATAATGAATATATAGATGTTATTTTTTTGACAAAAAAGTATTATTAGAGGATCAATCTACACCATACAATAAGTTGTGCATTTCCCTGATTTTACCGGCCAAGGCCTTCTTTTTTTATCTTTTAAAAAAAAAATTCCAGAAAAGCAAGAATTTCAAAATCGAAACTGCAAAAATGAAATATTTTTGTAATTCATAAGAGTCCCCACCACCAAAGCCCCACATTTTAATAACGGAGTCATATGTTCATATCACTTTTAATGTCGGTAGTTTTGTTTTGTTTTGTTTTTTTTCTACAGTCTTAATTCTTATTGTAAACTATATCGAAATTAGATTGTGAATGATTGAAAATGAAAGCTTTTAATAACATCCAAAAAATATCATCATGGCCTTAGTTAAGTTCGCTAGAGAGTATATGCTCTCGTTATGCATCCGAGTTTGAATCCATCCACATAATTTAGATGATATTAAAATAAATTATCGTTACATAAAAATACGAGGGAATGTGTTGGAAAAAAAAAAGAGTGAATGATTATTTTTCTTGAAATGCCAAAAACAACTCTATAAAAAATAAAAAATTATAATTATAAAAAAAACTCAGGTAGTAAATGTGCTGATGTTGTGCAATTAAATATAATTCAGATTCGGATATAAATCGCATATTAATTAAACCGAAGAAATCAACAATCGAACCAAGTGGCCTCGTCTGTGCCACAAACTAAAATATATTTTGCAATATAAAGTGAAGGTAAACGTTTTAAAAATACCAAATAAAAAATTAATTAGCAGAAACTTTAATCATATTGAACCACCATCATACCAAACCAACATCTGAACCGGCTCCACCAGCTGGCCGGCCGGCCGGTCGGTCTATCTCTATTACATCCCTAATTAAAACTAAACCCATAATAAACCAAAATTCCATAACTACCTACTCGTAATCATATTTACTTCTCTTATAACCTTTGCTCCTTATTATTTACAATTTTTTTTTGTAATTCCGATTTTGCCCCTCTATTTAACGTAAACTTAATTTTTAATTTTATCTTCGTCTCGTCAGCCAACCACCGTTCGATCGGTTCAGCACTCTACATCACCGAACAACCATTTGGATTCTCGTCGCTGAACATCTGTGGAGCAGGGTGGTGTTCTATCGGCACAGCGTAGCCATGGCTCAAAGAGTCTTGGCTAACATGCGCCTGATGCGCTTGGGCCTCCATGACGAACTTGTTGTGGTTGTATACGTGTCCTTCGTCGTACCAATAGTAACTGGAAGGAGGGTAAGGGTACCCAGAATACTCCATCTTGTTCACCTCCACCTTGGGGGCTCCGCCGCCGGGTGCGGCAGCTGCAATTTCTTTCTTCTCGCCTCCACCGGCGGCAGCTTCTTTCTCTTTCTTGTCACCGCCGCCTGCAGCTTCTTTCTCCTTCTTCTCGCCTCCGGCTGCGGCGTCTTTTGGCTTGGCAGCGGCGCCGTCATCTTTCTTGGGTGGGACCACTTCGACGGACCTCCTGAACTTCTCTCTGAGGTAGGGGACGAGTTCTTTAGCGTCCATGAAGCCCTTCACCGTTACAATGTCTTTGGGTGCGTCAAAACTCACCGTATTAACACCTGCCAACAACAAAATGCACTTCTTTAGATACAAAAATGACAAAATTACCACTTGGAAATACACATGTGAACTTAATTTTAACTGAGCGAATATACCCGTACGGCTTTATTTTTCTATTAATTTTGACTAACTTTGTCTTCTTATGCAATTTATTAAAATATTAATTAAGGTTTACGAGCGTGGTGCCGGTGGGATGCTTGCATCATCCTTGATTAATTAATTTAATCAAAATTATATATATTATTAATAAAGTTTTGAGAAGTTTCGAGAATTGACATCGCCTCTCACCTTTGAACTTGGAGATTTTACTCTTCATCTTCTGCATGCACCCCTCGCAATGCAATCTCATCTTCATGACCACAGTGCTCTGAAACCACCCAACAAAAGAAAAGAATTAGCAACGAAAATACAACCAGATTAAGCTCGAAATACAATGTTTAAAATAGAAAATAAATGCGAAAATTCACTATTGACTGTACCCAAAAAATATATATTATACAGATGTGTGATCTGTGTATTATAATACGGGTGAGCGACAAGTTGATATATCCTGCTTTTAAATAAATATCCGCTTATATTATAATACGTAAACAAAGTACCAATCAGCTAAAATGCATCGCAAATTATACATGAGGGTGAGGTTTTACCTCTTTGGGTGCCTCTTTTGGCTTTTTCTCTTCTGTCTTCTCAGCCGGCTTTTTCTCTTCCGGCTTCTTCTCAGCCTTTTCCTCTGCAGCAGCTGGCTTTTTATCTCCACCGCCATCTTTTTTGGGCTGAGGAGAAATGAGATCTACCTTCTTCTTGATCTTCTGTTCCAGTTTCTCTCTCAGCCCGGCGGGGTCCACTTTCCCGGTCACAGTCACTTTGTTGGCTGCACACTCCGTCTTCACTTGTTCAACGCCTAATTTAATTCACAAAAAGATCGACCCAATTAGCCAACAATTAAAAGGAACCGTGTTTTGTACGTAAAGATTGTTTTAGCCCAACTAATCAAGCTTAAACTACACGACGGAAAATGCATGAACGCAATTGAAGTCAAAATTCTAAAGTGTTTGCTTGCTTCCGCACCCAAAAGCCCTAAATCTAATCCAAATTTAATAGATTAGTAGATATTAATGGTCAATACATAGACTTAGCTACCCCTTCCCCGTTCCCATCCTATAATTTTGGACCCTTTTTTGGGTCCCCAATTTTCTACGGTAAAAATCTCTGAGCCGGACCATTGAATGCGGATTTGTTCCGATGAACTTTGTAAAATCCGAAAAACAAAACCCAATTGAAAAAAGCGAAAATCTGAGCCCAGAATTCTCATGTGATTGAAATTTGATATGAAATTGGTGAAGCTGTACCTTGGAAATTCTTAACAGCTCGTTTGATTTTCTTGGCGCACCCCTCGCAATGCATGTCGGTCTTCAAAACGACGGTTAGCGAGCCGTCGTCCTTCTTGGCGCCGGCGTCGGCTGCGGCGGGCTTCTTCTCGCCCTCATTCATTGCGCCTTCCTTTTTCTGCGACAACAAATAAACCGTCGTTAAAACATAGAACTTGGCCGGAAATCATTTTAGCCACGAAGAAGAATGTTCAAATTTTGGTTTTTACTCACCTCACCCATGGTGTTGGTGTGGGTATACAAGAAATGAATATGAAGAGTTTTTTTTTTGGGTTGGTAAATTGCTGAAATGAAGAATTAAGAATGAGGAGGTGAGATGGGAGATTTATAGGCAGAGGTGGGTTTGTTGTAGCCGACGTGGAATTTCCTAAATTATTTATGTATGTTTTACTTTTATGGATGGTTATGTATGTATGGGTGATGATGTATGTTATGTATGTGTTGTGGTGGGTATACCGTATACCGTTTTACTTATTGGGTTTGTGCCGTTGTTGGGTATATTTAATATGTTTTAATGGTGGGGGTGGGGGGGCATTGGGGGGTGTAGTCAGGACAGATGGGCTGTGGCACTACGGGCTTCGTAGATTGCCGCCGCGTTGGACTAATGGTTGTCGGAAACGACGGCATCCAGACAAGTCAGCTAATTCTGACTAGACCCTGACGTGTCTTCAACCTCCTTCCTTTCTCTTGCTGAATTAATTAAATGAAAATAGAAATATGGTGAAGAAGGGTGAATAAATAGTTGTTCTACCAGAAATATGGTAAGTTGATAGTTTCATTAGCCGTAACAATGCGTTGCGTTTGGATGAGGAAATTTCAAAGTATAAAGGATTTCATAAATAACGAAAATTAATGTTTTAGAATTTGTAAAGTTTCTAATTTGGGTGATGGATTTAAAACACAGAATTTAACCTTTATTTGTAAAGTTATCTTTTTTTAAAACTCAATCTCTCTTGGGCTTTTAGAAATGACGACTTTTAGATATAATTTAAAGTTGGGATGTATGATCTCCAAATTCCTTTTTTTTTTTCCCATGCGAAATTTCTAAATTTCTATGTTTTTTTTTTCCAAACACGGGAATTGGTTAATGTCAATTTAGAAATTCTGAGTTTTGTCAAAATTTCAAGTTGATTTCCCTCATCCAAATGCACCGTAAGGGTTTCTAACTCAAATGATTAACCCTCCATTTAGATGAGGGAAATCTAAAATTTAAAAGGAAAAATTGAAAATTCCCTTGTTTAGCAACTTAAGTGCATAATTTATTAAATGACGCGTGAAAAAAATCGTGGAAATTGGGGCATCAAATTCTTGAGTTTAATTTCCACCAAAATATGCGTTATTTCACAATTTCCAAGTATCATTTACAGAATTCGATATACATAAATCCAAACACTGAAATATTTAATTGCTAGAAATTGAAATTATTAAAATCGAAATTCTGTCATTTTAGAATTCTATGTCATTTTCAATTTTTTCATTCAAACGGAGAGAATAGTTTCACTTGATGTTTTATGTTCAAATTCCCCATGATGCAGTATTGTTTGTATTAAAAATAAATTAAAAAAGTATACTAACCAATTTTGTATTCATAATGAGTGACATTTGTTATTAAGGTTCGTTTTTTATTTTAATAAGAAGGGGAATTTGAATTCGTGTACGAGCTAACCAAAACACTGTTCTGCCCAATTCATCTAACTCAAATTTGCATTATAGGTTGGTTGTTGACAGTCTTTGCAAATACCAATTTGAATGGTGTACGTTGGATAGGGCAGGGCACCTCCTATTGGGTAGCCACTTATTTGTTTATTTTAAAAACAAATACTACTACTAGACACTAGTATAGGGAGTTTCAATCAGAAAAGGCTGCGTTGAATTATCATCGCTCAATTTTGTCAGGGCATGGACTTGCTCATGATGTGCAGGTCTCAGCGTCCTCACGTTTTTTCTTATCTTTACTATTTATAGTCCTATTATTGAATTCGCTTCAAAATATTTTTATGACGAATGCAATGTTGTCTCGGGAAGGCTCGCACACGAATACTATTTTCACAGTTGAAAGTTTAGGCAGATTTGACAACTCAATGGCCACTAGAATTCCATTTGAGTGGACCTTTAACTGTACAGCTCTTGAATCCCATCACCTCCAACGAATAAAATCCAAACTAGGGTTGAAACTAATCTTTTTCAGCATCATGTGCAATTATGTATGTATTGACCAAAGCCCTAATCGATCGATTGATGCTCCAATTGCGTATTAGGGTCGCATTTGGTTTCGGCTCCAACATCAACATCAAAACGGCAATGCTCCAATTATGTATATGAGTTTCTAAGTGCTAATTTGACATTGTTTATTTGGGATGATAAGTGATTTTTAAAAAATTTTGAGAAGCCCAACCCGTTTGGTAAACTGTGAGAAAATCACTTATTGTTAAAAATTGTTGTGAGAGAAAGTTATAAGGGAAAGCAACTAATGAGGTGCTTTCATTTTCTGATTATGCAGGAATCAGTTTCGAAGATGAGCTGGGTTTAATGATTATGCGACAATCATTTTTTGATTATGCGTAAAATCAATACCAACAACACTTTTAACAAAAAATTTACCAAACGTCAAACTGCTTTCTCTCACAACTGATTTCTCTTACAGCAAATCTGACAGCGATTATTTTCACAGCACAGCAATGCCAAACTAGCCCTAAGTGCTAACCGAAACCCCACAAAAACAACACCCTTAAAAGCATAGTGACAAATTGGCAAAGAGAGAGATGTGATTGACTTTGTGTGGATGCCAACAAAGTTAGCTAAGCAATGATGTAACAAATTATAGGCTTCAAATTCCAAACATCCAAAAGGGTAAAAAAAAATTGTTCAAATATCCTGGGGACATTTTGGAATGGAAACTTGATAAGGAAGGTTAGGCATCGTGAGTTGGGGAGATGTCGAAAGCAATGATGTTACAAATTTATGTGCTTCAAATTCAAGATATCCAGAAAGGTCATTAAAATTGTTCAAATATCTTTGATGGGGAAGGCAGGTTAGGCATTGTGAGCTGGGGAGATGTTAAAAGCTTTGGCTCTTGTGCGTGTGTTTATCGTGTAGGGGTTTGAAGACGGTAGGAAATATGTTGGCATCTTCTGCTAGGTGTGAAGAAAAGCAATGGGGACACCAATACGTGCGCCAATACCAAAGAAAGAGATGCCTCTTTGGGACATCAGACCTAATTGGAAATTTGGAATGATATAGAGAGAGAGAGAGAGACATCATGACACAAAAGCATGAAGAAACATGCACATAACGATAAAAAATATTGTGTTGTACGCGGCAAGTAGCAGTCATCTTCTCTTAAACTTCCAGGATAGAATTATAAATTTCCACATGAAAGAACCGAAAAAAATACCTCAATTTTTTGGTAGTGAACGTGAGTTTAGTGCTACTAGGTTTAATTTGAGTAAACTACAAGTGAAATAACACAAAAATGTAAAATAGGATTTGTTCCTCTAATTGGGCCATGCTAATTTCAATTTTCAAAGAATTGAAGAAATGGTATTTTATTTGTAAGCATGGCGGCAGGATTCATGAGGAAACGTTAAAAATTAATTAAAATATTATCAACAAATGGGTCAGTGCATATGTATGCAGTTGGATAAATTTGGATGCACATGTGAGCTCCAGAAAACAAAACATAAAAACATAAAAAAAAGATGCGTGATAAACATGAACTTTGATATATTTGGAATTTTATATACATCTGGGTAGGGTCAAAATAATAAGTAGAGATAAGTATTAATATAGTTCATGTTCATAAATTCTAAAAATATCCATCAGAAAAACTATTCAAAACCAGCAAAAGGAAACTTTAATAAATGTGTTTCTGTGGAAGATAAAGAAACAGAAGGAATATTTGTACTTGTTGTGGGCACTAAATCTAATCAGCCATGAAATATATTTGGTTAGAAATGGATGGTGTGTTGCTTCTTTTGAGTAAAACTTGTATTGGTGATCACTTTCACATCGTATAGGATAAAAGGATAACCCACCATTTGTCGGACAATCATGAAGGTTTTGACATGACTAATCAAGAAAAAGACATTGATTCAATTTTTTAAGCAAGCCACCTTTAGATTTTTTCAAGGTGTTTATCATTTTCTAGAAATAATTATTCTCAACTTACGAACATTGTATAATGTTCTCAGACGATGAATTCGAGATTTTCATTTTATATATACACGTTTGATTTGGGGTGAAATGTAAATTAAATAGCGCTGCACTTGCAAACATTACATAATGTGTTTCTGCGAAGCCACCTTCTGTCAGAGAAGGCATGTGACCCTTCGCATAAGGTGGCTCTACATGACCATGACGGAACGTGACTCGTTTGTCGTCTCTGGCTTCAAGTACCAAGAAAATTTCATATGTAGTTTTGGTAAGCGCAGTGATTACGGCCGGGTTTCCCTATTGGGCCAAAATACGGCCCATGGGTTCATACATGATGCATTTATGGACTCACAACAAGAGCCCAACAAATAGTCCTTTTGGGCCTTCACTATTCAAATTGGGCCCCCGCCAAATCAGTACGTTGGTCTGAAAACTCCAACGTCGCGAATCGCATTTCAACTTCAACCTCTTCGTCTTCCTCTGCGTTCAGCAAAACCAAGCGATAACTCCACTGTAACCGAAAAGACCATCGAGCCCTTGTTGGCATCACCATGCTCTCCTCCGCAGTCTCTTCTTCCCTCCTTATCTTACACAAGCCCCTTGCTCGCGTTATCAGATTCCCCATCCCCAAACTCCCCCTCTCTCCCAACCCTAGACCCCTCTCTTCTCTCTCACCCGCCGCTTCTGCTCTCACCCCCAATGCCATCGGCCCCGGCGGTCGCGCCGGAGCTCTATCTCCGGCGCCGATCACCGAAGACCTCCAGAAGATCGACGTCAACCCTCCCAAGGGCACCAGGGACTTCCCGCCCGAAGATATGCGGCTCCGCAACTGGCTCTTCTACCATTTCAGAGAGGTCTCGCGGTTGTTTGGCTTCGAAGAGGTTGACTTTCCAGTTCTCGAGTCCGAGGCTCTGTATATTAGAAAAGCAGGAGAGGAAATTCGAGACCAGGTTTTTATAGCTCTTCTTTGACTCGCATTGCGTCAATTGTAAATACGTACATGTACTTACATTGCAATGTGCTGTCTTGTGCAGCTATATTGCTTCGAAGACCGAGGTAATCGTCGAGTTGCATTGAGGCCTGAGCTCACTCCTTCTTTGGCAAGACTGGTTATACAGAAAGGGTACTGAAATTCTGATTCTGCTGAGCATTTTCATGTTCTTGTTGCTAATTAAAGACTTGGCTCTATAATGTATATCTGTATGTTTACTCGTGATTTTTTTATATCCAGGTACAGATGCCAGAAATTTTGATTCCCGTGTTTTTTTCTGTCCAGAAAATCTCTATCCCTTCCAGTGAAATGGTTTGCCGTGGGGCAGTGTTGGCGGTATGAGAGGATGACGAGGGGGCGGCGAAGGGAGCATTACCAATGGAATATGGACATTATTGGTGTACCTGAAGTTACGGTATAGAGCTGAAATTTTTGATAATCCATTCAATACTACTATATTTGATACAGAAATTTTTGGTACGGGAAAAGATAATCTATGCTAACTAGTATTGCATGCTTATATGATTCTGAATTTTTTTTATTTATGATTTTACCCAACGCTCTTGCATTGATTGAAATCTCCATCTGTTCCACATGATGCATGGCACATTGTTGTATTTGATTGTATTATGTTATATGCATGTCCCTAACAAGCTTGGATTTTTTCTCTCTCTCCATGTTCTAGGCTGAAGCAGAACTTATTTCTTCAATTGTCACTTTCTTCAAGCGATTAGGAATTACCACATCAGATGTTGGATTTAAGGTTTCAAGTCGAAAGGTGTGGATGGTTTTTCCTTGCATGAACTTAGACAATCAGATTCAAAGGTCTTCATAACATTTGTCTTTCCGATATTGTTCGTCTATCTGTGGGAGGTCTGTTTCCAAAGGCTTTGCATTGCCACATGCTTCTCAAGTTGCTTTTCAAGATAGAAAATGAAAACAACTTATACATCCCAATTCATTTGAACAATATAATATTCTGGGCTATTATGATATACTCACAATAGTTACCAGAAGCCACACAAAAAATAAAAATAAAAAAGCTTTGCCACTGTTTGTTTCATTAAAATGAGTTTTGAGGAATATATATATATATATATATATTTTTGCATTGGTTTATGACTACTAGTCTACCTTGTTAATCTTTTAAGTTTTAAGAGACATTTGATCCACACTTATTCTCACATTAGAACTTTTGTTTTATTAATGATTTTTGGAAACCAGGGCGGATGATTCTTCTACTTTTCTTACATTACAGGTTTTGCAAGAAGTATTGAGGCATTACTCCATACCTGAAGCTTTATTTGGCAAGGTTTGCATCATCATAGACAAGGTAAATTGTTCAAGGTTGCAAGTTTTGGATTGCATCTGAATCTGTTGTGGTTTTCTACTTTATTGTTCTTTAAAAAAAAATCAGATGTGAATGCCATGATGACCAGTATTGTAGTTTGGTTTAATAATTTATTGTTGAAAATTTATTAGATTACAATCATGTTATTTAATTTGTTAGATTCTTTTAAAGTAGAGATTATTTCTTCAATTGATTCTAGGTTTCCCACATGTAAACTTAACAAATCAGTTCATTGCTAGTAACTTTTTTTAGTAGGACATTTTTTATAGTTCATGTTGATTCGTTGAAGTTCTTTTGACATGCATTAGTTGTAGCAAGATATTCTACTTATATTCCATGTCTTCTGTATGTGTGTGTCTGCATGCATCTGCTATGGTCATGGTCCTTGAACTTTGTATGCATTTTGGATTTAGAATCTAACCTTGCTCTTGTGTGTCTGATAGCACAATGAATATTATATTTTCACATTTTCTTATACATAACAATATATGGTAATGAGAATGTAGATTTTGTTTATAGGTTTCTAATCCTTATTCTGGGATTTAATTATGAACAGATAGAGAAGATTCCAGTGGATGATATAAAAAACGAGTTGAAATCTGCTGGTGTGTCGGAAGAGGCTATTGAGCAGTTATTGCAAGTTCTTTCCATTAAGTCTTTGACAAAGTTGGAAGGTTGGTCTTATCGATATTGATTCAGAAACTTTGTAGATAATATATTTTTTGGCTATACAAGTTACATGAGAATGCATGAGTTAAAATGCGTCTTGATACTAGATCTCTTGATGGTTGAGGAACATAATGTGAAGGGTGATAAGATAATGTGAGGTAAAACAGATAGCTTGAACATGATAAAAGCTTAGCTAGGCTTTTGTATCTTACCAAAAGATGAAGGGTGATAAGACAATGTGATGTAATATAGATAGCTTGAACATGGTAAAGGCTTAGCTAGGCCTTTGTATGTAGAAAAAGGTGGAGAAATACCAGTAGGTGACAAAACAAGGAAAACTTAATTAAGGGGTTGCCTATGTAGGAATTGAAGAAGAGTGAAAATATAAATAGACAATTATGTTGTGGAATGGTGATGTTGAGATCAAAAGTTGGTAGTTATTTGTAGAACGGAGAAAAGTAAACTAAAGTTCAAACTTGAAAGTGGTAAGATACAGTTAGAGGAGGTGGGTTCAAATTTTTAGTTTATATAAGTTGCGGTGACAAAAATAAATTTGTTTCATAAATTTGTTGAGGAGGAAGGTGCTTTTGGTAATTGTTCATTAATGCTGGTTTAAAGGTTCTCTTTATTGTGTAACCGAAATTTTTTTTAAAATCTTTTTCTCGCAGTGAGAGATGATGTAACTCTTACTTAGTATGCATTCCATGTTTTTCTTATGTAGAGATACTTGGAGATGCTGGTGAAGCAGTTGCTGATCTGAAGCAGCTATTCTCTCTTGCTGAGAAATTTGGTTATTCTGAATGGATTCAGTTTGATGCTTCTATTGTTCGTGGCCTTGCCTACTATACTGGTATTGTCTTCGAGGTTAGATTTTCCATGTTGCTTTCCCCCCTATACTTTTTAATTGCAGATATCAGTCATACTAATAGAATCGAGTTAAAACATTTTTTTCCATTTTATTTAGTTGTTCTGTTGCTCTTGGGGACTGATGACTTTCCTGTATAGTCTGGTACATACCTTTATGAGTTTAAATAATGTCCTGGGGCTGGGGATCATATTTGTTACCATGCTTCTATTTCAGGCATCACTCTAGCCACGAGGATGTAATTTATAGATATTATCTTCCTGTAAGTCTATACAATTATAGATTTTGGAAGTACTGAGCTGAGGCATGGCCTGTGAGCAAAACGTTAGTAGCATTGTTATTAGATATTGCAGTAGAGTATTTTAGGTGTTCTGTAAGTTGGTTATGATGCTTTCATCCCTTATGCATGAAACAACTGGCATGTGACATACCGTGTCATGTGAAAACTTGTGCCACTAAAATTTCAGATGTAGAAAATGCTTTCAATTCTGCACTAATGTGCCTACTTGTAAGAACAAAGTTTGTGCTGTAGATAGAAAAAAACAGCTACAGCTTTTGGCTGTGCATGATTACTTAATCTGTTCATGAATATTAGATCTCCCTTGCGTGTAAAGAAAATTGCTGCTGGTTTCTTCACTGTTGAACACAGCCCCTAAATGATCAATTTTATTCTCAGGGTTTTGATAGAGGAGGAAAGTTGCGAGCCATTTGTGGTGGTGGGCGATATGACCGCTTGCTTTCTACTTTTGGTGGTGATGACATTCCTGCTTGTGGCTTTGGATTTGGTGATGCTGTCATAGTGGAAGTGAGTTTCAACTTATATATTTCCTATTCCTTTCTTTATGAAGCCACTTTCTATTACATTTAAGTTTTCTTGTTGAAGCACAATATGTGCTTATGGTTGGGATAAATACTCCTTGGTACTTAAATATACTTCATTCTTGGCTCCTAGAATTTTCGATTGGTTTATTGTTTATTTGACATTTTGGTTTTGGGGTTACAGTTGCTAAAGGAGAAGGGTCTTCTGCCAGAACTCAGCCTGCAAGTAGAAAACATTGTGTGTGCTCTAGATCCTGGACTTCAAGGAGCCGCTGCCACAGTTGCCACCATACTCAGGGGAAAAGGTCAAAGTGTTGATTTAGTCTTGGAGAACAAACCGCTCAAATGGTATTTGCCACCATCTTATTAGGTGCTTGCAAATTTCTATTTCAATCATTCTGTTTCTAATATGTTATGTATCCATGGGTTGAATTTGATCTATGTCAGGGTATTCAAGCGTGCAGCAAGAATAAATGCTAATAGGTTGATATTGGTGGGAGATTCAGAGTGGCAAAGGGGTATGGTGGGTGTGAAAATACTTTCTTCCGGTGAACAACATGAGATCAAACTTGATGAACTAGAGTGATAAGAATTGATTATTTAGAGGTTTTACTCTATTTGTTTTATTTTTTATAGGTAGGTTCAGCTCATTATTGTCCCCCAGTTATGTGCTTACACAATTTTTTGGTCAAAATAGTAATGAAATTACTGATTTTTGTCTTATTGATCTCAGTAAAGCTTGTGCAACCATTTGTCTACTGTTCTATTTATTAATTTGCTTGTTCTGTAGCCTTTTCATGTTCATTTGAAACCATACTAAGACGTTATGAAAATTAGCCCAATCTTATGCGAAGTACAAACAAATGATCTTTCCAAAATAGCAAGTTGTAGATAGCTCAATACGGCATAACCATTCCTATTATCAGCTCCAATACATGGATCCTGTTTCAAGATGACCTTAGACAAGACTAATAGCGATAGTTAACCTTTTAGTAATGCTGTCCAAGATCTTACCTGACTTGTGTGCTGCTGATCGAAAACTTCTTTGATAGTTAATGAGAACATGTGATATTTTGACAACTGATATTGTGCTTGAACTATTTTGTAATGGACATGAAAGATAAATTTGACTTGTTTGTACTTATGTAAGGTTTTCTTAGCCCTTTCATTTCCGGTAAATTTTTGGTTTGAGTGTTGTCCCTGGTTGAAAAGAGTGCACATTTGCTGCTTTTTGGTTTGCTACATTTTATTTTTCACCTAAAAGAAAAATTGGATAGTTAGCTATGTGAAAAATTAAGACGTGTTTCACCAATTCGAAACTGGTTTCTTTGATGCATTGACATTACTTTTTTGCATCATGGTATTTACAAGCTTCTCAGTCACAACACATCCATTGGCACGATTCGACTCTAGGAGTCACATGATTGCTACTTTGGTTTGATGGATGGACATGACATTCTTGAATACTACCCAGAATACAACAAGATGAAGGGACTGCATCATACAAAGGGATTTTCTCTAAATTCAAATTTTAGAAAGACAAGAAAATGAAGAGAACTTTGTGTTTATGTGAAAGAGTTTCTGCTATCTTGGAGTGCAGATTGTGTTTAGAATGGCAGTGGTTGCTAGGATGCAAATGGAAATTGGCTTCGTGAGTTGCATTTCTGGAACTAAAAACACTTGCCGGTATAACAATATAGTAGAAGAATGTGACCCTGTGTGTCTTCCTCACGAAGAAGAAAGATGCAGATGACATGAAGTCTCTTACAGATTGACACTCTGCAGAATTGTGAAGGTACCATGTGATCTTTCCTTTAAGATAATCAGTTTCTAAAGTCAGTCATTTTGTTTCAACTTGGACTGGTCTATATTTGCTCTTTAAGAGAAATTTGAAATTGCTCATTTCAGAGAGAATGATTTCTGTAGTCATTTTCCTAAAGAGATTTTCTGGGCCGCATGATCATCGGTATTGTTGATATCAATATGCTTTGAAGTATTTGGGAGTTCATTTTTGACCCAACAATAAAGGAAGAGGATGGTGTGGGGGAGGAATTGATAAGTTAAAATTTAGAAAAGATGATTTCAGGCAGAAAAAATTAGGAGGTCAGACAATGTGCTTATTGCTAAGTTCCCCAGAGTTCACCACAAAGACAAATTTCCAACTCTTAAGGCTAGCCCTAAGTGCAAGTTCCATATCTTCCACTGTGATTTGGCCTTTCCATCCCCCAGCATCATTTATGGCTTGAATTCATCAAAAACCCACTGCCACTGTATAAAAGGTCAAGCCTAGAAATATTTGGTTTGAATCCTTACTGGTGTTCATTGTCATTAAGCCACTGTAAGAAATTCGCATGGTGGAACATGGAATGATTTTGGTTTTATAATTGCAGTTCTTGTTCAGTTATGAATGCTACTGCGGTGAGAAAACTCGTTTCTTTTTCTTTGTTTGCATCTTTACAATCTAGTAACATAAGTCTCCCAGTAAATGGTATAGCCTATTTAACATTTGGGTTTTTGACTTTGAGGAAGTAGAAGAGGAAAAGTTGGTCACTGTTAAGACTTGAATTTGAAGTTACAGAAGGTAAGTGAGGAAATTTGCAGAGTACCTTTTTCTCCCATTTTCAGTCTATTGCTGTTGAAAATTAAAAAACAGCAATTTGTTGATGATGCGCATGCACTGAAGGTAGGTGCAGACTTGAACTTGTAGCACATCTTCTGCCTTGTTGGTTTCCTGAAGAATGATGATTCATTATTGAAAGTTGTCAATGACACATCAAAATGGTAAAGTATGGTCAGTTGCATTGGGAAAATATCATGATTCTCAAGGTTGCTGCATTCTTTTACCCCTATTATGAGATGGTTCTTTTGGGTCCATGATTCAAATCTAATATACAATAGGGACATTTTAGAAAAAGCAAAAGGAGAGAGAAAAATTTTAAAAGAAGCAAAAATGGACAAAAATGCCCTTATTTATTTTTAGATTTCCTAAGGAATCCAATACATTTGCATGTCTTTGATTTGAAAGTTGAGCGGTTTTTTTGTCTTTTTTGAAAAACCTTTGGCTTTTTCCAAAAGTGAAAATTTTTTTATGTCTAAAACCTAAAAGACATTTTAGAAAAAGCAAAAGGAGAGAGAAAAATTTTAAAAGAAGCAAAAATGGACAAAAATGCCCTTATTTATTTTTAGATTTCCTAAGGAATTCAATACATTTGCATGTCTTTGATTTGAAAGTTGAGTACAGCTTAGATGTCACTTTTAAAGGAGGATCTACTTGGTATTCTTTTGTGATGCTAGGCTTGGTGCTGCGCTAAACTGGATATTTTGTCAACTTGAGAGTTGATTTTTGAGATATTTAGTAATATACCCATTCTTAGCACTAAAACTATAAATAAACCCTACATCATTTCATTTTTATAAACATACCCAAAAAAAACCCAAAAAATGACAAATGGTACTATTAAATTTAATTTTAATTATTAAATTACTTTGATACCCTATTGAGTGTTTTGGGTTTTTTTATGAAATTTTGGGTTGGGTTTGTTTTAAGAAATCAATGGCAATTTTGTAATTTAAAAGAAGTTAAAAGCCTTTTTGTTATGTTATAAATGAGCTTTGGGTGTATTTATAAATTCCATTTCATATAGGGTTTTTTTATAATTTGGGCTCCTATATTGGGTATATTAGTGAATCTCCCTTGATTTTTTCATCCTCTTGGCTCAGTTTTGCATTTAGCCAAGCTGCCAACATGACCCTCCATCGTCATCCATAACTTGAGAGCATATTTTTTACTCCCTGGTGGCCCTTCCTCCTCCATCATCACCATAATTCGCATCTAGCCGCTTTCGGTTGCCGTTTGTGCCTTATGTTTTGTTCTGGGGTCTCTTTTTTTTTCTGGGTCATTGTAGTTGTCTCAATCCAGGGCAGAGTTAGCAATCAACCAACGGACGTGAGTGTGACCACATGGCTTCATCGGCTTGGCCACCGGTGTTTCAACCAAACAATAATTTACGACTTTCTGCAATGCAATTTCACTTTTCTTTTTATAGATGAAAAAAGCCAACCCAAGCCTTATGATTACCCAGAAACAACCACCAATTAAATTACTATATCTACAGCTCGAAATTAAATTTACTGTCTCAATATTCTCTGCAACTTGAAATTTCTTCCACTTGATATATTCTCACGGCACGTTAATTGTATTGCATCCCTAAGGTCTCGTTTGGTGGGTAGGTTAAGTAACATAATTAGATTTGTTTAATCCATTACCATGTTTGGAGCTAAAATATGATTGTAGATAGGATAAAAGATAATCTCACCATAATCCCCTTATGTTTATTTTTGTAGGATAACTTATCCTACCAAGAAGGTGGGATACATAATCTTACTACTCCAACCCCTTGACCTTGAACCCAAGATTTGAGAGTCGCGACACAAAAATTTGGGACACTAGTGTCAACGAAGGATACATCATTTCCAATCCAATGTAATCCAATGCAATCCAATTCTACCTCCTAATCCAATTAAATTCCAGCAACCAAACAAGCCTAAGAGTCCAAACAAACCATGGATTATCTCTAAGCTATATTAGTCGTTTGTTTTACTTAATTCAGTTAATTGGAGTGCTTCGCACTTTTTGTAGGTACTAACTCGTACATAACGCAAGTGGATGAAAATGCTTCAAAAGCACAACTTTATTGTCGAAGCGAGTCATTGGTTTCCAATTAATTTGTTATGTACATTTACTACCCTTACTATAAACTCGATTACTTACACCAAGTCGGCAACTCATGTGGTTTGATACGAGCGATAATGGAAAAGGGAAGAATCCAATACATAACTTTGAGTATAAGGATAATTACTCTTCAGCACTTGAGCTATAATTCTCTTACGAATGTCGTCGAATTTTTAAGTGTATTCGAACGCTCCTCACCTCAATTGTCCAGCACTAATGCACATGTTCAGGCCCAACGTTAATGGGTCTGAGGCTCATGGTGTCGGGTTGGGTGGTCAATTTAGAAGTTTTGAGGCCCAATCTAATGTGGCTGAGAATTTGAATACAAAGATGAAAAGATAAACGACGACGAAGCAGAGCAGCAGACTCCATTAACACAAAAATGAAAGTTGGCAGCGGATTGGTGTACGGAGGACCTCGAGCCACCGCTCTGCCCTCTGTTCTTCTTCGGCACAGCAGAGCTGGACCACGCTGCTCTTACTCCTCTGACACTCCCGGTAACTTAGGGCGCTTTGAATTTTGGAAGTGCCTATTGATATAACTGTTTTAAAAGATTTGTGAACTGATTGTGGTGAAAATTGCAATTTACAGACCATGTGTCTTTCATTAAGGAGGTGGCAGCAACTCAGCCTCCACAGCATTTGAGCCAGTTGCTGACAATGCTCAAGACAAAAGGTGGGTCATTGCTTAAACCTCTGTTCAAGATTCATATTTCCATATTCAAGAACGTCTCTTTGTTGGGTATTATTCAATTCTTGTGTTTTGGGATTTGCATGTGTTGGTTGTTTTCTTCAATGTTTCCATGTTGGTTGTTCAGAGAGAACAATGTGACAATGTAATCTTTAAAAGGCAATGATATGTTCTACAAATCTCGCCTAGCTACATTCTCAATCTCAAGATTATAGTTGCTGGGTTGTGGTGCCTTTGTGTTGAATGGTATGGCATTGGAAGAAAATGGATGAACTTTTGATGTATAATTTGCAGTTATTATACATGATCCATGCTTTTCTTTTCTTTTTTTGTCTGCTCATCTTTGAAATAGTTGAAGCTTTAAGTAAATTCTCACATACATTGCTATGTAACAGGTGAATCTATTATTTCTCCAGGAGCCAAGGAAGGGCTAATCCCCCTTGCCATACCACTAGCAAAAAATAGCTCAGGTATGGAAAAGCTTCAAATATATTTGGAATTGACGAATCCCCAAGAATTGACTTGTAGTTCAAGCTGTTCTAATTTTGTAAATATTTCTTTGCCAATAGGTGCTGTAACTGCACTTCTCCGGTGGCCTACAGCTCCTCCAGGGTAAGTGTTTGGCCTGAACAATTTTGTTCCTTCTTTTAAAGCTTGATTCATCTAGTCCAATGCCTGCAGTATGGACATGCCAGTAGTTGAGGTCAGGAAGCATGGGGTGTGGCTTTTAGCCAAGAATGTGAGTAAAACATGCCAGTGTTCCACATACTTGGCCAAAATTTCATTGTAAATGCATTTTTGTACTGGTTATACAACTATTCTCAGGGCAGACGTCCTATCTTTCATCCACAGGTGGACCAATTAATTCACAGAATCCTAGTTGAAGAAGATGCTAAAAACTCTGGAGAAAGCAATGATGAGCTATTTCATGCTTCTGCTGATGTTGGGGAGAAACTTTATAAAAAGGGTGACTTTGCCAAGTCGCAGATTTCAAAACTAGATATTTACCTTTTAAGAAAAGTACGAAAGAGATTTCTTCTTCGTTTAGCCTCCCATTCCTCCTTTGTTTCCTTTCTTTTCAATTTTTTATTTTTTTTAAATGAAGCGGTTACAAATGGTTCATTTTCAGGTTGGTTTATTTCCTGATGTCTTGGAGCGCAAAGTGAAGTGGCATTTTGAGGAAGGGGACCATGTAAGATTCATCACCTGACTTTGCTTACTTCCTCTAAGCATCATTTTGTTAGTGTGTATTTGACAGTCTAATTACTGTATGTGCTTTTGAAAGGTATCGGCTTTGGTGACAGGAGAATTCTATACAAAGAAGGAGCATTTTCCTGGATTTGCACGGCCTTATGTATTCAATGCTGAGGTTTTACTAAAGTTCGTAGGAAACTTTTCCAGTTACTTTCTACTAAACGTTTGTTGTGATTTAGTCAGTTGAATCACTTAAGGTCCATCTTCTAAGGAGCCCATGTGTAAATTTTACAGGGTTGGGCGTACTGTTGAAGCAAAAGATGCTGCTAGGGGAGCTCTAAAATCACCATGGTGGACTCTGGGTTGCAGCTACCAGGTTTCTACATTTTTTTATCATTCCTAGTGTCCCAGCCAACTTTCCTCTGCAAGAGTTCCTTTTATGACATTATGCAGTTGAATACTTATAATTCAGGAAGTTGCTGATATAGCGCAATGGGAGGACGAGCAAATTGAGTACATTAAGGAGAAGGTGACTGACGAGGGAAGGCAAGCAGATCTTAAAAAGGGAAAGGCCCCAGCTCAGGTTTTCGAATCATTATTGCTTATGAACTCCCAAAAACAATTTGTTAAAATGATTTCTTATCATCTCAGTTCCATCATTTGCAGGTTGCATTGGATGAAGCAGCTTTTTTGTTGGATCTAGCTTCTATTGAAGGGACTTGGGATGACCATGTGGAGCAGGTTGCTGATCGTTACAGAGAGGCTGGCCTCACTGATATTGCAAGATTTGTACTATACAGAGATTGATAATGAAGATAAAGAGATTTATGTCACACCGAATATACGGCGTCACAGAACCAGCTTCATGACCGGAGAGAATTTTTCTGCCGAGTGATTAATATGTGCACCGTCTTTCCGAATTTTTCTCTGTCACCTAATTTGTTGACTCATTGTTGGTACATAACACATCACTTTTTATTATTTTTCTTGTGAAGGCTGGTTGATTTCCAACTGAGATTGCTGAGGCATTGGCCCGTTATAGAAAGAGAAATGAAAAAGAAGTGTGAATTTGCTTAATCTGCTGTGATCCCTCGTCTGATGAAGGAGAGAGTGGTGTTAATGCATGATGTTAGAACGGTCATGCAGGAGTTTCTTTTTTGAAAATTTTGTTACATCCCCAGACTTCAATAGCTTTAGACAGCCGCCAAGTTGTTCCTCTATGTGGTAATGATTTGATCTGAAACACCAAATCTGGGATATTTAGAATAAAAAAACCATATTTTATTCATGGGAAAAATACACGTGTACAAAACAGGGAATTACATGAAGGGGTATACAGCGTAACTACATATTCTCTTTTTTTCACCCTCATTTCCTTTTTTGGGTTAATGGTACACAAATGTCAACTTCTCTGCTGACATTGTTGCAAATTCTCAGTTGCCTAGAACGATATATATATACAGGAGCAATACATAACGTATGCAAAAACAAAAACAAATCCCTCACTCACGCATTCTCCAATATCTCTCGAATGAGAATGACCAACAGACCTATAGCCTTTATTATTTTGCATTACAGGCGTGTGACAAACCAAACTGCCATCAAAACAGAGCGAGGAACACCAACGTTGTAATCAACTTATCATACGACAGAGATTGATCATGAAGCGATTGGAAGGGGTGCTTTTTTGCTGCTACCTTTCTTTCTCCATAACAGCTTTTTCCATAAACTCCCACCTCCCCTTTTCTTGCCAGGCACTATAGCTAAGGAACCAACAGTAGCATTGTCATCCTGGTATTTACCATTTAGAACAAGGATATTCTCGAGGGGCTCTATCACCCTATTAGGACCGAATGTGGAAGTTGAATTACTGTTGACCTCTTTTGTCTTTGGAGACATTAAATCCTTGATGCCAGCACCATCTTCTGCTAACATTTGATCTAGTAGAGAGGATCGTTGGTTCAGCTTCTTCTGTGGGGTTGGGCATGTGGCTTTGGCTTTGAGGGTATTTATATCAGTGGGATTAGTGATGACCTTGTCAAAAAGGGCTGCTTCCTTTGGTGCAGCCATTGCCTTCAACTGCTTCCCGAGGTTAAGTATTGTCTCTTGGCATTCGGCCAACTTTTCTGAAGCAGCTGTTATCTCCCAATCCTGAAAAATTGATCAAACATTATTTACCATCAATTTAAGCAGCAACAAGTAAAGAATTGGAATTCTTTTGAATTATAAGAACGGTAAGGCACATCATGCAATATTGCATCTGAATGACAAGTTGCCAACAAGGCACAATAGTATCCTTTTTGGATTGAATTGTTTTGTTTCAAGATGAATTCGCCTTTTACCATGAGAGAGAGAGAGTTCACTTTTAAGCTGATCACTTTCAATGGTGTTTCTTATGGGACTGTACTGTTTCAGTGTAGATTTATTAGGTAAAGTAGACCACTAAATCTAGAAATATGAATATAAGTTGAATCTGAAATGCTACAGTTGTCAAGTGACTCATCCTTGATCAAGAAAAAAGCTACTATTCACATATCATTTCCTAGGCAATGAAAAATTTTCTTATTTGTAAAAGAAGATAAATTCTTTCATCAGGTATATGGTTTTTGTTTGGAATATGTTAGTGCAACTGGAAACAGAAATTAAGAATTCTCAGACAAATTGGTAAATGTAGGTGTAACAAGAGGACATTAACTTACATTTTGGGCTTGCCTTTCGTCTGGATTAAGATCGGAATTTGGGCTTTTCTTCTTCACACTGCCAAAAGAAACATATATCAGATGCATAAGATTCCTCAATTATTTTATTACATTAGTCAATATTTTTAAATAAGTAAAAGCTTTAATATGTAGGTATACTATCTTTGGTGGTATGCATCTGTACCTTTCAAGCTGAAGCTGCAGTTCCAGGCATTTAGCCTCCAATTCTTCGCAGCAGTTGTATTTATTCTCCAGTTCAACTTCTAGGGATGAAAACTTTTGGCGAGCTTCACTTAATTCAACTCTGGCCACTGTAAGCTGCGTGTCAAGATCTTCATTCATCACCTTGTGATTTTTAATTTGGTCCTCAATGATTCCTTTTGACTCTCTTAAACTTTGTAACTCTGTTCTCAAACTGGCTATAGCCTTTTCCGATTCCTTAAGCTGATTCATCAGGTATTCACTCTTATCAGAAGCTGACTGAAATCTCCCTTCCAACTCTCTCTTTGCAGATTCTATATTCACCAATTCATCCTTTAATTTTCTGTTTTCTTTGACCAGATTGGCCTGCAGCTCTTCTATTTGGATGCTATGGCCATTTGAAGAAGTAGACGCGGGCAAACATGATAACTGTTCTCGTGGAACACGTAATTTGTCTGTATCTATAAAGTGACCAACCACTCCAACTTCTGCTTCACTTTCACTTCGTGTATCATCCCAATCAAATTGTTTCTTAATTGCATCCTTCATGCTTGAAACATCTTGAAGTGAAAAGCAGTGGTTTAAAATCCAGTCCAAGGCAGTAGTGAGCTCTTGGGCAAACTTGTCAAGACCAGCCTTTCCATTCAACAGATCATAACAAGCATGAACAAATTGTTGTAGAAGATCACCAAGTTCAGAAGTTTTCCACTGGAAAACACGAACCATGTAGCCTGTGTATTCTGCATTCTTATATGTGGACGAGTTCCCATCCTTCCTGGTCCCATTCTCTGGGTTATAATCTGGAGATGGCACACTGATTCCCTCAATAAGCTCAATTATTTTACATAATGATTTACTCAGATCTGGCTGGAACTGCTGATTACTCCTCTTTGGGCTTGAGACGTCCACATCACTTACTCCACAGAGTGAATCAGTTACTAGAGATCTATCTGAACCTTTCCATGAGATGCAGCTTTTAACAGAGGAAGGATTGGATGCATCAAAATGGTTTCCATTTGTCCTTGCATCAACCAACTCACCAGGCTTTGGATTTTCTGTGGATGCCAGAGCTAATCTTATATCCTCAAGTATCTGTTCAGGATTTCTTCCTGCAACACGGTTGTGCTCCAACACCAGTTTCACTATATCCTGAATCCAATTGGGAGCTTTACCATCAGGAATATTTTTAAATCCGGTCTCCCTGTTTGACATATTGAAGCCTGACTCACTGTCAGAAACAGGAACCATCTCGCTACCCACAAGTTCTGAGGAATACTCAGTTTCCAAGGTGCCAACAAATGCGTTAGCTGAAGAAACAGGAGAACCTACACTTGGTTTATCAGCAGAAACCACTGCTAACTTTTCCATTTCAATAAAGTCATCCATCAGATTTATGTCTGAAGCTCCAACAGTTTTTCTTGTTAGTGATCCCTTTTGTTTTTCATTTCTAAAGTGCTCCAGTTCTGTAATCAAGGCAGAAGCCCATGAATCAGCACAACTAACCTTATCATCGCTGCCAATATCAGACATAGATGCTACAGACACTTCACGAGACATAAGACTACTCCTCATTGGCTCCATGGTTGTCTGGCCTCGTGATGATTCTTCAAGCGGTGTTTCAACTTGTGATAATTTTGAAGCTATACGAGCATACATGTTTCTAGAGAACTGGAGTTCATTCATCTTTTTATTGAGTGCTTCCTTGAGAGTCTGGTTTTCTTCTTCCATAGCATATAACTGGTCAGTCAGAATGTTAACCCTTTTGCTGGGAGTCTCAGGAAAGTTATCAACAGTAGAGTCATACATTAAACCATTTGGATTCAACTTTCTCCTCCTCATGTCAACAGAATCCCATCCTAGCATTTCAACTTCAGTTTTCATTTTTGCCAACGCAGCAGGACCTGGCAACCGCTTCCGGACCAGGAGACGCAACCTCTGACATTCTGATTCTAACTTCGCAATTTTCTTTGCACCCTCCAGGTTTTGCTTGTGTGATGCATCAGCAGTTCGACGGTTGAATTCTCTCTCCTCATTCCGGATCTCAAGCTCTTTCTCAAGCACTCGAACCTCATATTTCAAAGAAGCATTATCTTTCTCGGTGGATTCTAATCTACTCGTTAGTGCATTGAAATCAGCTTCCACCTGAGTCAATTGTTTTCTTAAATCTCCTATCAACTTTTCCTTCACTAAAAGAGCATTACTAAGATGGGTGTTTTCTGCACCTATTTTAGAAAGCCTTTTAGTGGTCTCTGATAATTTCTCCTCTAATACCATCTGGGATTTCTCAAATTCTCTTGATGTCTTCATCATAGCATCATGAACCCTTTGCTCCTCTTCTTCTCGAACAAATCGTAGCTGCTGCATACATTCCTTGAGGGCTGCATCCAATTGAGCTATTCTTTCTTCACGAGCTGCTCTGATTTGTAAAGATTTATCCAGTTCTTGCTTTAGAAACCCCGCATCTGCTTCTACCTTCTCCCAGCCTGCATAAAACACTCATATGAAAAATGAGACAATATATTAACTGAATGCACAGGTTATTGAAATATTCCAACACAACTCTTAAACTAATGAATTACCTTGAACAGCCTCCTGTGCCATTTTGGCATGTTTCTTCACAAGTTCATCTTTGCTGTTACATTCAGAGAGAGCTGAAGCAAGCTTATCACTTAAAGTTTTCAGATTGTTCTCCAGCTCTGCCTTCTCAGCCCGAATTGCCTCTATCTAAAGAAAAAGAAAACAGAGTAAAGTGAAAAATAGTACCATTAACGCCACAAAGTATATTCAACGGTTCCTAAATGAAAAACAAAATTCCTAATAAGACATATACAGCAACCTAAAACAACAGGCAATACAGCAACCTAAAACAACAGGCATCATTAAAAATTCTTAAATGATGATAACTAAATAACATACTCCCTTCGGAATTCAATCTTTCAGTTCTTTTGTCCACATTACGAAACTATTTGACAGCCCTTGACTGATTATGCTCACCAAAATTCTAAAACTGGTTTAGAATCCCCACAGCCACACAGCGGAGCTATATCTGTCATCCCTAGGAAATTTACTCTAAGCAGTATGTCTTTTCGATTGACATATTTATTATTGTAGCCCCAATCAGATCTTGGTTTGTGGAATAGAAAATCTTGATCAAATTTAGTCTCTCTTTAACGCTAATTTTTTACAAAGGGAAACTTTGAGAATTTAGGACAAATATGGTATGATGTCGTAAACGCAAAAAACATGAAATTGCCTTCAAATTGTAATTTAAAAATTTATTAGACTGATTATTCCAGATTTGGAATTGCATCTTGGTATGGTATCACAAATTGGAAGTGCTAGAAAGAGGTCTCTCTCACCCGAGTGTATAGACATCTGAAGGGCCTGTTTATTTTGTGTGATTCAGTATATCAACAAAATGTGATCAAAGAAGTGAATAATTTGATGGCAGTAGTTATTCCTACCGAAATTCAACACTAGTTTCAACTTTTAGATATAACACAAGTCTTGCTGGTGAAAACTTCTGACTATCTAAATATTGATCTCAAGTTTGAAGGCTTAAACACATCCAAATAGAAAATTGTACTTGTCTAGACTGACCCACCTCCGTAGTAAAATCTCTAATCATCAGAATCCAATAAGAGATATATAGAAAACGAAAAAGAATCTCTCCATGCAATTATTCAATAGCTGACTCTTCCAGCAATTTATTATTTCTTTGTTCCACCAATGTAAATGCATAACCAATTTTCTTCATAAAACCTGGCTTTCCTTGAGCCAAAATAAAAAGAAAAAAATAATAGAGCAAAAATTATTTGATTTTAAGTATCTTCAAGTGAAGCATTGAGGATGGATCACTTTCAGCTATGGATTGTACAAGAACAACCCTCTGGGGACTGGGAAGTTAAAGTAAAGCTCTAGCTTGGGCCTCCAAAAGTGTGCCTAAAGGGGAAAGTAGCATAACACAAGACAAACCATATACATTTATAGCTAATGTAAATTAGAATATACAATCATGGATTTCACTAAAGCTATGAATTCATAGTTACCTCATCTTCATTTCCTTTGCCCAAGACGTTGACTTTGTCTTCTGCTGCTGCTGCTGCTCCAACATTGGGCTTTTCTGTAGATTTCTTCCTCCAAAGCCATGGCTTGTGGTCCATGATTCATTCACCAACCACTTAAATACACTTGCTTCTTCTCTAAAAGCCAAACAGTCAATCCAATCAGAACAAGCTGAGCATGCAAACAGCCTAACCCAAATGCCAAAAATTAAAAATAAATTAATAAATCAACAAATGAAGTACCAACCAGGTGAGCATTGCATGGATGATGATCCACATTCCAAGAGCAGAATGCAAAAAAAAAAAAAAAAAAAAAAAAAAAAAAAAAAAACAACAAAAAAAGAACCCCTTTCTATATAATGAAGAAATGAGAAGACCGAAAAAACAAATCAGGCAGAGAACATCATCAATGTGAATGATAGCGATCCCACCACCGACACAGAGATTTGTTTGCAGAGAGATGACTCAAAGGAGGGAGAAGATGATAACGATATAGAAAGAAAACCAACCACCAAAGCTTTAGCTTTTCTAGAGAGAGAGAGAGTACTGGAGAGAGTGTGTGTGTTTGGTAACCCGGAAAAGTGGAATGGGGGAAAAGTAAAGAGTGGGAAAATGTAGAGAGAGAGAGACAGAGACAGAGAGAGAGTATGGAGGAAGATACCGGTGGAGGGGGGCCTTGGATTTGGATCTGGGTTCTGACCCGAGAGCCGAATCGTACGTGTGGCAATGGGAGCCGTTGATTTTAGTAATTTTTTGTTCGGAGAGACAACAGTCGTTGGGTCTTGTTTTTTTCAAGGTCCTTTTTGCGTTCATCTAACGGACCGGAAGAGCGGAAGTCTCTGTCTTGGTTGACAAGAGTCTTCAACAGATTTGATACTTGTGTGGGAAAAAGAGAATAAAATTTGTACCTACTACTACCTAGTAACACATTGTTATCAAATTAGAGTCACAAAATGTCGATTTAGTCAATGTGATTATAATTTATATGATGACATTTATCACATATACCGAGCTTAATTCTATTTTTAATTTTTTCTAAGTGAAAACTAATTTGACATTAAAATTTGAAAGTTGCTTGACATCTATAGATTACTCAAATTTCTATTGAAAAAGAAAGCATATTGAGTAAAGCTCAGAAACGCCATTGAAGATTAATTGTCTATAAATTTAACTCGCATTATGAGATTCATACTCGTTATTAATTCACGATCACTCACACACACAAACTCATATCTTATTTCTTTGTCAGAAATCCACAAAAAATTAATAGTTGGTGAGCTTCTAATATATCTATATGTAGGTGGTAATAAATGACAATAGAATAAGATATTGATTTTATAAGAAAAAAGGTGCAAGAGGAAGTGGTTTGACATTTTGTAAATAAAAATAATATTTCTGGATTTGTATTTATAATTTAGCTTAAAAAGTCATTAGCCACAAATGACCAATACAAACTAACCACAAAGGGTCATTACAATAACGAAGTGATCTAACATCAAAATTAAGACATCCACTAACAATCACGCATGATTGAAGGAACTCTAACGTAGTCATGCATCTGTTTGTGATAAGTTGAGGAAAATCATAACAAAATGAAGACAAATAGGAGAAACATTCTGTCTATTGAAATGGGGGAAGATAGGAGAATGGAGGAAGAGAGAAGGGAAGAGGGGAGGAAGAACATGGCTTTTTTCTCCCTCAAAACGAAAACGGCTCTAAAGTATCTTTATCTTTTGGGAAAGTAGGGGCTAGGGTTTTCAAGAGAGATTCTGAAAAACCATATGTACATTCAATGCAAACTTCTGTAAATTTTTGTTTGTAAAGGAAAAAAGGGTAAAGACAGTATGATGCTTATTGTCCGGATCGATCTCGCAAAAAAACAAGATGCATGCTAAATATAAAAATGATTAATAATACAGTTGTGGTATCCTAAGCCCTTCTTTTATTTATTTATAAACGTAATATTATAATGCATATATATATAAAACTGATCATCGTGATGATATAGTTGACCCAGCGGTCCCTCAGTTGAATGTCATTGCCACCCACAACAAATTAGAAAAAAAAGATATGCCCCCATATTCTAGCCAGCCCTTTATTTGCGTTACACTCTTGGTTGATTCTTTCTTGGACAAACAACCACACGTGATACTTACAATACTATTACTACTGGTGGAGGTGGATTATTATTTATAAATATATCGGCTTTTAATTTAAGGTGGCAAGTAACTATTATATATATGTTGGACAAAGTTGGTAAAAATGGTTATTTAACGTTGATAATGTACAAGGCGTGATGTGATATCGTCGTGACTTAAGACCAAAGAACTTCTCACATGGTTGCTGCATGAATTCATAATCAAGTTTAACTAAAGTTCTAACCGATCTTCGTTGTCTTAAAGTTTAAGATTAAGCGTTAATTTGGGATTTAGTAAGTATTTGAAAAGTTCACTAAAATATAATTACATAGTATTATATGCAACGATATTGCCTTGATAGTAAGTACAACATCAACAGTGAAAACCTAAACCTGTGCAAAATGGGGTTGAATTGATGCTTTGCTTAATCAAGTTGTGTGGCTGGCAAGGTTCTCCACTCGTCCTTTCATCCAAAAATGGCACTTGGCTTTGTCAAGTGTCATGTTTTAATTACTTACTGTTGCCAGATGCCATCTCTCTCTCTCTGTCTCTCTGCGGGGCTAAATGGAAAGAGAGCTGCAAAGATTTAGAAGATTTAGAAGATTGCAGGCCCACTTTGCTAAGTATAGGGAGCACCAGAATCAGACTAGACGCCTAGTGTTGGTTGTTCTTTCGTCACATCTTAGCTAGATTTTGTGTTTCTTCTTTTTCGTCTTTTTCACTCCCCTGAATATATGTGAATAGGTTGAAGGTCACATCTATGGCCTCTTCTCCTTGTAAAAGCGGCAACAATAATTTAAAGTCGGCTGGTTGGTGGACTGAGATTTGACTCAGTTTTAGCAAATAGTAAATGGATCTAGTGGCACTGTGGCACTACATTTACAACTCTTTGATGCTTCCCCTTGCCAGCTGTTAGCATGTGTTCTCTATCTCTTGGTAGCCCACATTTATAAGTACGTATATTAGCTAGGTGTGATGAATAAGTTTTTTTTTCTCTCTCTCTCTCTCTCTCTCTCTCTGTCTCTCTCTGTGATGAATAAGTTTTTGACTCGTATGAGATTAAAAACTGAGTTTTCAGGTCACACAGATGCTATCTGAGAATAGACTTTTTTTTCTTGATTTTCTTAATTAAGGTGGTCAGTTATATGTGTATATGATCCCACCATGTGATGCACTGGGGGGTCCATGAATTTTCCTTCATGAGAAAATATCTTGTAAAGTCTGGCCTAGCATGCAATGACTAATGGAGCCTACCAACAACCTGTAAAAATTGGCCTAATGCAACCCAAGTTTGAGCCATTCCTTTGACCCCCTTGCCCTGCCTTAGCTTTCTTTGAGGCATTTTATCAAACAGTTTGCAGTCTTTGTCCCAGACTCCAAGAAAACAACCTATTTCTTAGATTCTGATTGAGGTTAGGGTTGATTTACATGTAGTACTGCTTCCTTATGTGGAAAGGTTGCAATCAACTTATGAAGAAGGAAGGAGATGGGTTTTATCAAACCAAAATCAAACAACAAACTTTGTCTAAAAGCCCAAGCCTTGTTTAACTTTAGGACCAACAAATCTTTAAAACAACCCAAAGCCCATTCAAGAAAACTTAGCTCATTTGAAGAAAGAAGCTACTTGTTTGTAGCTACAAGCCTACAATTATCTATCAATGCACAATTTTAAACAAGAATAATTTTCCTTTGGCCCCCTTTGGTAATTATTGTCAGCTTGTTTTAATTTCATGCCAACCCCTATTGTGGTCATAAATAGATCAATCTACCTAATTGGGTCATCCTGTTCTTGCAGCTGAAGCCTATATAGACCTAGCCTGGGCCAAATGATCAAAGAAGAAAAGATAGGTAGGGGGAGGCCTGAAACCTGGCTACCCTAAACCCTCAAAATTTGGGCTGGTTGCTTTGTTTTGTAGACTACAATATTAGCATGTGTTCTATAATTGGAGTTTCAACAACCAGCCCTGGCAAACTGTTAGAAACCTCTCATCACAAACTTCAAAATTGCAACAATAAGTACATATCAAGCCATTTTCCAGCCTTTCAAACTTTTTTTTTTGGGTAAATTATTTTCCAGTCTTTCAAAGTTGCAAGCAAGCAAACCCACAAACATGTGTGAGAATAAAGGCATCTTAGCTTATAAAATAGAAAATACTACAATTGGAGGGTAGGTGACAGGAAAAGGTTGCTTTAAAAACCAAGCAACTTCCATTTAAAGGGAAGAGAGAGTGAGCGCAGAGTGCACCCCCAAAGCCATATGAAACGACACGCTTCAAAATCAATCACGAAAAAAAGAAAACCCTAAATTGGGAATTCAAACAACTTTATCAAATCCCGTTTTTGCTAATTTTGAATATGACGAGACATCCAGCCTTTTATTTTTTTTTGTGATGGCTTTTGTTTGAAACACGAGACAGAGAGTCGTCTTTCCCAAATTGGAAATTGGAAACTCGTAACCAAATTGCTCACGCATTAAAATGGAAACTTATACATTTTCTTCATGCTACTAATCAATCCGCGAACTTTGACATTTTGACAAGAACCGTGATGAGCAACTGTTGTTTGCTTGTCTTTGTTGACAGATGCGTTCCCTTTTATCACAATTTTCTTGAGTGATATCCAAGTCTTATCAGATATATATAGTAATGTTGCTGTTTGTCACTCAATTTTTCTATTTCTTTCCCACCAATCTCACTCGATTGTGTTTTTTCTTTTCCTTTTCCTTTCTCTTTGTTGGGGTACATGAATGCTTGATTTTAAGAATATAAAAGGTAGATTAATTAGAAATTAGGGTAATTTTATCAATAATGAGATTTGTAATTGTGATTATCTTGGATAGTATACTTCATGACATGCGAATTTTAAAAACTTAGGGTTATAATTCAAATTATTTGGCTCGTATATAATTAGTGTTTTACCGAACAATGATTATCACTCACCTTGTCGCAATGTGGCGAGAAA